AGTGGCTGGTGGGTTTGAACCGCCAGCCGTCTGGTTAGCAGGCAAGTGTCTTAGCCACTATGCTACCAAAGCTCCCTAACTTTAATATTAGCAACTACAAATTTTGAATATCTGTTTATTTACCACTTCAATATTATATAATATATTCAAAATAAAACATTAAGGAGATGTAATAAATCACCTCCCTCAAGAATCAATTTTGAATCTAAATGTCATAAAAATGGGTACTGAAGCAGAAACTGAAACTGAAAACTCAGTCTAAATTTTCAGATAAAACCCACTTGAGTGGAAGATGAGTATTCTAGAAGACTTTTAAAAATTAAAGTAATGGCTCCACAAAATAAACTAGCACAAGATATATTTTAAGGGTTAAGATATATATTCTTTATCTTACATGATGAAAACAATTATGTCCTAATTTGGCATCCAGGTCCCCTTTATCTACTGCTTTAACTACTGCAATAATCTCCTATCTGATTTCCCTCTCTCAGCTGCCTTCTTCCTCATCACTGCCAGGTATCTTTCAAAAACACAAATCTTACAATAAAAGCAGATATTATAATGTGTCATCATATGGATCTGACTACATATGCAAAGCACCATAAATAAAAGATCAATGATATTACTGTATAAAAGGCATCTGTGATCAATAAGAAAAAGATAAGCATTCCAGTAAAAATGCCCTTGCTCATGTGCAAAGGTCATGAGCAAGAAATGCAAAAGAGTAACAATAGCAGCAACAACTACATTTGCATTCTTACTAAGTGCCTGAAAGATAGACAGTACCAGACAGCAGATATAGTGCTATGTAATTTACATGCATGACCATCTTTAATTTTCACAATAGTATTTTAAGGTAGGTATTATTATTAGTCCTATTACACAGGTGGAAAAAAAAAAAAAAAGAGGTTTAGAGATCTTAATCAATTTGTTTAAGGTCATAATGCTGGTAAAGAACAGACACCAAACCAAAACTAAACTCACTGCCATCGAGTAGACTCTTACTCATAGCGACCCTATAGGACAGGATGGAGCTATTCTCCATAGGGTTTCCAAGGTTATAAATCTTCACAGAAGCAGACTGCCTCTCCTTTCTCCCACAGAGCAGCTGGTAGTCTAGAATCACTGATCTTTTGGTTAGCAGCTCAGTGGTTTAACCACTGTGCTTGGCAAATAACAGAATTAAGATTCAAATCAAGGCAGTTTTGATTCTATACCTGTAATTTAAACCACTACTTCGTGCAAAGGAGCTCTGGTGGCGTAGTGCCTAAGGCATTTGACTGCTAACCAGAAGGCTGGTGGTTCAAACACACCAGCCACTCCTCAGAAGGAAGATGGAACAATCTACTTCCGTAGTGATACTGCCTTGGAAACCCAAAGAGGGGTCACTATGAGTCGAAATCAACTCAAAGGCAGTGAGTTTTTGACTTCATGCAAAAGATTACTAAAAGCATTTAAAACAATTTCCACTGAAAGATGGCAGACAGAACACAATTTTATATCCATTCTTCCTAAAACTCTACTAAAATGGTAATATAACTGTTGCTGTCAAGTTCGTTCTGACTCATTATGCCCATGCATGCCAGAACAGAATTGTGTTCCATAGGGTTTTCAACGGCTCATTTTTCAGAAGCAGGTCACGAGCTCTTTCTTCCAGGATGATTCTGAGTGGGCTCCAACCTCCAACTTTCTGAATAGCAGCCAAATACATTAACCATTTGGATTACTCAAACCAAACCCACTCACTGTAATCAAGTCGATTCTGACTCATAGTGACCCCTATCAAGTTTCCAAGGCAGTAAATCTTTACAGAAGTAGATTGCTCACTCTTCCTTCCATGCAGTGGCTGGTGGGTTTGAACCACAAACCTTCTGGTTAGCATTCAAATGCTTTAGGCATAGTGCCACCAGAGCTCCTTTTTGCATTACCCAGAGAGTAAAAAATGGCAATAAAGGGATTCATAAATCTACAAGGACAGGGGGAGAAAGACAGATATACAGATAGAGAAGAGAGAGATTTTGAAACAGACAAAAAAAAATTGGAAGTTGAAAAGATTTAGATAGGAAAAAGCTGAACACTAAGTGAACACTGAGAAAAGGTAAGAAGCAACCTAACTTACATTACAACATTCCCCCATTTAGAGAAAAGCCAGAAAATGGTGGTTCCTGAGGAGCGGTAATGGTGGGATCAAAAGCAAGAGATGGATTAAAAATTATTTCCCTTAGACTGTAAAATGGTACAACCACTGTGGAAAGCAGCATGGTGATTCCTTAAAAAGTTGGAATTAGAAATAGCATTTGACCCAGCCATTCCATTACTAGGTATATACCCTAAAGAAGTGAGAACCACAACACAAACAGACATATGCACACCCATGTTCATCACAGCACTATTTATAATAGCCAAAAGATGGAAACAACCTAGGTGTCCGTCAGCTGAGGAATAGAAAACCAAACTATGGTACATACATACAATGGAATACTATGCAACCCTGAAGAATAATGTAGAATCTCCAAAACACCGCATAATGTGGATGAACTTGGAGGACATTATGCTGAGTGAAATAAGTCAATCACAGAAGGTCATACATTGTATTAGTCTGTTACTGTAAAAAGTCAAGGAAAGGTTTATATATGGAAGGAATTTTTTTTTGTTGGTTACCAGGGGTAGGAAGGAAGGGAACACTGTTAAATAGAGACTATCTATTGATTTGGGTGAAGAGAAGAGCAATATACCAAATGTGAGTGATCAATATGGTGGCATTGAGGAACAGGAAGACATAGAGGTACATGAGAGGTACAGACAACAAAGATGAATCCTTTTGCACATACAGTACTGTGTTGTCGGTGAAGGCAAACATGAGTATACAGGTGGATAGATGGGTGGACAGGATGAACTATGAGGTATGTCCATGCAGAGTGTACCCAAGACCATGTATAGGGTTGGCCGACAATGTTTCTACAAGTATATTGGTATGTTCTGTAAGAATTTCCAGGTGTATAGTAGAGCTGACAAGGGACAAGGTTGTAGTCACTTCTTGGGCACAGCCAGCTACCCAGAGGGAGCAAGTAGTTGGACCTGTGGGCTTGGGACCATAGTCGCAGGGGACATCAAGCTCAATTGGCGTAACATACTACACAAGATATTGTTCTACCTCCTACTTTGGCGAGTAGTGACTGGGATCTTAAAAGCTTGCAAGTACCCATCTAGATGCAACGATGGGTCTCTCCTCAGCCAGAGCAAAGAAGAATGAAGAAAACCAAAGATTCATGGAAAGAATTAGCCCAAATGACTGGTATACCATATGATCCTCAGCCTATACGACTATGAGACCAGAAAAACTAGATGGTACCTGGCTACTACTGTCAACCATTCAGAGGGGGATCTATGTAGGAGATCCTGGATAGAGTGGGAGAACAATCTAGAACAAAACTCAAAATCATCTGGACAAAAAAAGGGACCAGGTTTGCTGGTCTAATAGAGCCTGGTGGAACCACTGAGACTATTATGGCTCCTAGCTGCCCTTCAAGTCTGGAATTGAACCTACACATGTGGCTTCCAGCCAAACAAAAGACAGGCATATGAGGTGAACATTTACACTAGGTAGATACACTCCTTGCAGAGAACTATCATGGAAGAACAGAAGGGTTGTATATGTACAGGGAGATGGCTCACAGAGCAGGAGTGCATGGAGGGGTGGACACAGGGAAGAGGTAACTATTGGGAGGAAGTGAGAGGGGAGCTGTTGCATGGTAGTAAATTGTAGTCAACGTCATGTGACAAATTGTATGTGAACTGCTGTGTGGAAAGTGAAATTGCTCTGTAAACTTTCACCCAAATTAAATTGGGGAAAAAAAAAATTCCCTGAGAGTTGAAAGGATGTGCTACTTATGTGTAGCAGAGGTGAATGTAGGACAGAAAACCAAATGCTCATGCCTAAAACCAAACAACCAGGAAGTAGCAATAGAGTCATGTTGTCTAGCACTATGCAGATAAACAGAAAAAGATCAGTGGAGAGTAGTTACATCTATGGAATGAATATTAATCACGGAGGAATGTGGAAGTCTGCTATTTTTCAAAGAAAAGTCTTACAGACTGCTGCATATTTAAACCAAATATAGCTTTGATAAAACAAAAATCTAATTTTAAAAACAAAGACATGGGGGAAAATAACCACTACACTTGTAAGCTAATGAAATGCGGAGTTTTAAAATATTATTTTTCATTTATCAAACTGACCAAAAAACATACTGATATTACTCAATGTTTGCAGTTCCTTACACTGTAGGTAAACATAAGTTTATAACATCTTTCTGAGCAACAACAACAAAAAATGCCAGAAACCAAACTCACTGAATTAAAAAGTAATTTAATATTATGTATCAAAAATCTTAAAAACAGACATATTCTTTACTCAACAATTCTAATTTGAGGGCTTTATGCCAATGAGATAGTCAAATAATACCATAAATAATACCAAAAATAGTAGAACAAGAATTCGAAAAAAAAATTAGGATTATTAGGTAAAAATGTTTTATGTTACTGTTTTTCTTATTTAGACTGTAAAATGTCAGAACACCATCCTTAGAGCAAGTGAATAAATATCAGTATGCTATTTACTCACTGTGAATAAATACATACATACATATATACAATGGTTCAAACAATGGCAAAAATTACAGTTCTAATTTTCACAGTGAACTAACACAAACAGAAGTCTGAAATAATTAATTTAATTATATACATATTCATTATCCTATTTCAGACTTAAGAGCCTTTATCAATTCCTTTTTCCTTTTCTTTTGCCCAGCTTTGAAACATTACACTAAGACTTTTGCCAAAGGGACTGGAAAAGCAAATTAATAGAAAATGAAACACAAACTAGGGAACTTGACTATCTTTTAAACTCCATTTCCATTATCAGAGCTGTTAAGAGAGAATTTTTACAGTATTAGGCCAAATTCAATGGATGAGTGCTTTCTTCTAATGTATTTTATACCAGTCTTTTATTACTGCTACTAGTTCAATTTAAGAGATAATAAAGAAAAGTTTAAAAATGTAAAGACAACAACTAGAAACAGTATGGAGTTAGGAAACGAAGATGAAAGTACCCCAGCTAAACATCATCGGGACAAATTCAAATTATAAGATACAAACCTTTACACGGGCTCTCTTAATGTAGAAATTTCGAAGATGATAAAACCTAACAATAAAGGTTGTCTTGCTGAGTTGAATAAAATTGTATGCTAATTTTATACACTTAAACATGCTCAGAACAGTTGACTCTAAATCAAATATATGAGTTCTAAATGTCTTAATTCCCTTAGAAATTTCTTATCCTTGTGTTTCCCATGCAGGGCAAATTTTGTAATATTAATGAAAGTATTCTAAAAAGAGAGTGGATTTAAAATCAAACTAATTTTATAATATACAGCCAAACTTGCTTCTTTAAAGAGATTAAATGGGAAACGTCAATCCTTACCAACACTGAAGTTAGAGACATTATTTAATAATCTGCACTGTAAGGCAAATCTCTAAGACTAAGAATTAGCAACATTTTGTAGGACTTACTATAATTAAAGTATTTTATACTTTCTGATCTGCGGTTGAGAAGTTTATTAAGAATAAAACTAGAATATTTCCTTTGGTTTCATTCTGATTGCTTATTTAGAAATTCCATTGAGAGAACAAAGAGTATACCCTAAAACATTGACCACAAACAGCATCAACAGCTGTCATACGTCTGTGTGCAAGTGTGCATTGCGTTCCAGGCACCTACTGAACAATGACAGCTGTGTTAGTTGGTACTGACATCATGTGTCAATAGCAAATAAAAATTTAATAAGGGCAGTACACCATCAATTCACACTACATTTTCATATTCTCACTGCATGATAAATCTATAACTAATGAAAGTTTGCTTGGAAAAACTTGTTTTAAAATACAGTAGCATTTGTATTTGTTAACTAAAGGGTAACAAACTGTTATAATAAACGTAGCTAAAGAAAAAGTTCCTATTATTAACAATAGAACCATTGGAGAAATATGTAGACCAACTACAAACCTTTTCAGTTCTCTTACTTTACCAACATCTTCGTTTCGGTTTTTTAATACATGCCCAGGATTTCAAAGAATAAGGGGTCTATTTTAAACAGTAAGGATTAGAAGATGTTTGGATCAAATAGTCAAGTATACAGGAAAAGATCTCTGGGCATAAATTTATGGAAGAAACGACAATTACGGAAATTTATGAAGCATTTTAAAAATTGACATTTTAAGAAGAATTCTAATTCAATTTAAACTCCCAAGAACTTTTAAAAATCAATTATCCTCCTGAATTACGTTTTTTTTTTAATATAAAAAAGTAGGCATTATGTATGTGTCATTAAGTTACCACAAACTCACAATGCTATAAAGCTATTAATGCAAATTTGTACAATGCTATTAAAATTTAAATTAAATCCAATAAAATAAAATCGAAGGCAGGTAATTCTTCCCAGTGTATATTTTAACAGATGAGCATTAAACATACTAAATAAACAATTTCATTTTAAAAAGTACTTTACCGTTGGTTAGATAATCAGTCTGGCCTTGAGAATTAACAATCACTTCAGCCCTCATAGAGTAAATTTATCTATTCCAAGATTTCATTGTTATTTCACACTTCTTGAGCACACCAAGAAGGTTACATGGTACCTCACACATTCTGCAACTAACTAAAACAAAGAGGAAGGCAGCTCACTTTACACTATTTCAAAGACAAGTACAAGAAAGAAAAAGTTTGAGATGCATTCTGTCTTTTTCTAAAGGAAAGGGGGGTGGGGAGGAAGACTTTGCTGTGTGGTTACACAGACTACAGATATTCAAACAAAGATAGTATTTGTTGAGAGTGAAAACATGGCTTTCAGGCTAGATCCCAAGTATGAACCACAGCAGCCTACACCCAGCATTCCATCTAACAACAAACAGGGGCTTTAAACAAGCAGCTTCATAATATGCCTTAATCTTGTACTACTAAATATGCCACATTCTTAGTACTCTTAATACTTTATTTAGTACTAAGGAGCAACAAAGAAAATTTTTATTTAAAACTTTAAATTAAAGCTAAAGTAAGAAATGTACCACCCTCAAATATATTTTATAACCTAATATAATGTATTTCTTATTTTTGCAGTGTTCCCTCCCTTCCACCCCTGGTAACCAACAAAAAAATTTTCCTTCCATATATAAACTTTCCCTGACTTTTTACAATAATGAACTAATACAGTATTTGTCCTTCTGTGATTGACTTCTTTGAATAAGTTAATAATGAACTAATACGATATTTGTCCTTCTGTGATTGACTTATTTCACTCAGCATAAAGTCCCCCAAATTCATCCACGTTATCCAGTGTTTTATAGATTCTACATTATTCTTTAGTGTTGCATAGGGTGTATGTACCATAGTGTGTATGTACCATTGTGTGTATGTACCATAGTTTGCTTATTCATTCTTCTGTTGACGGGCACCTAGGTTGTTTCCACGTTTTTGCTAATGTAAATGGTGCTGCGATGAACATGGGTGTGCACAGATCTGTTCTTGTCCTGGCTCTCACTTCTTTAGGATATATACCTAGTAATGGGATTATATAACCTAATATAATTTTTAATGATAAGTTTTAATTGGAAAACTTCAGCCCGTTTCCGATACTATAAGCAAGTGCATGCTAATGCAGTGGCTCTGGAAATTTTTAACACACATATACAAACAAATGTCTCATGAAAAAATATGTATAACTACTACAGGATGTACTCTGAAATATGCTATTCTACTTATTCTTTCTTCCTTCCCTTTATTGCTTTTCTTCTTTCTTCCCTTTAAATGCAATCTGGAAACCACTTTGCAAAAGTTAACAGCCCTGAACTTTCGATAGTTCAGACATAGACCCATCCATCTATGGACAACTGATCTTTGTCAAAGGCCCAAAGCCCATTAAATGGGGAAGAGATAGCCTCTTTAACAAATTGTGCTGGCAAAAGTGGATATCCACCTGCAGAAAAATGAAACGAGACCCATACCTCACCCCATACACAAAAACAAACTCAAGCTGGATCAAAAACTTAAATGTAAAACCCAAAACTATAAAATTCATCAAAGATAAAATAGAGGCAAATCTAGGAGCCCTAATTTATGGCATAAATAGACTGTCAAGCATAACCCAGAATGTGCAGGAGATAGAAGAGAAGCTAGATGACTGGGACCTTTTAAAAATTAAATTCTTGTGCACATCGAAAGATTTCATCAAAAAGGTAAAAAGAGAACCTACAGATTGGGAGAAAATATTTGCCTATGACATATCTGACAAAGGACTTATCTCCAAAATCTACAGAAAACTTCAACACCTCAACACCAAAAAGACAACCCAATTCACAAATGAGCAAAAGACTTGAACAGACACTTCACCAAAGAAAATATACAAGCAGCCAACAATCACACGAGAAATTGCTCATGATCATTAATCATTAGAGAGATGAAAATCAACACAACAATGAGATATCATCTCACCACAGCAATAATAGCAAAGTTCAACAGATCAGATGGTAACAAATGCTGGAGGGGTTGTGGAGAGATTGGAACTCTTGTGCACTGCTGGTGGGATTGTAAAATGGTACAACCATTGTGGCAAACGGTATGACGTTTCCTTAAAAAACTGAAAATAGAAGTACCATTTGACCCAGCAATTCCATTACTAGGAATATATCCGAAAGAGGTGAGAGATAGCGCACGAACAGACATATGTACACCTATGTTCATTACGGGAGCTCTGGTAGCATAGTGGCTAAGGCACTTGACTGCTAACCAGAAGGCAGGCGGTTCAAACCCACCAGCCACTCCTCGGAAGGAAGGTTGGGCAATCCTACTTCCGTAGTGATACTGCCTTGGAAACCCAAGGAGGGGTCGCTATGAGTCGGGGCCGACTCGACGGCAAACAACAACAACAACAACAACATGTTCATTACAGCACAATTCACCATAGCAAAGAGATAGAAACAACCTAAACGTCCATCAACGGATGAGTGGATCACCAAATTACGGTACCGTGCACACAATGGAATACTATGACACATTATAGAACAATGAGGGATACGCAAATCATCTTGCAACGTGGATGAACCTGGAGGACATTATGCTGAGTGAACTAAGTCAATCACAGAAGGACAAGTACTACATGAGCCCATTACTGTAAAAAGACAGAGAAGGGTTTGCTTGGGAAAGTGAACTCACCTAGTGGGTTGCCAGGATGGGGAGGGAATGGGAGGGATTAATTTAGGGTTAGTTGGGGCTTACACGCTGACATGGGTATGGGGAGAGATATACGGGAAGGATATATGACCACCATGATAACATTAGGAAATGAGAGGACACCGAACTGTGCACATAAGAGATAGACGACAGATGCTAAAACCAACCAGTGTGTCCACAGCACCACATGGCCATTAACACCAAACACCAGGCTACACAGATAAACACATAAACACCTGAGATGATCAGACAGGAGTCAGTGAATAGAGATATACTCTAGACCAAGGATAGACTCAGCTGAGTCTAATCTTGTACAGATACCAGTGATACAAAATACCTGCAGTCCTTACAGAAACAATAGAAGGCAGACACAGAGTAATCCCTCACAGACATCCCGACACTATGGGAGAGAGATCCAATAGGGCTACTACCTCAGGACCATAGTACTGGGGGACACCAGACTCAATTGGCACAACAAAATACATAAAAGTGTTGCTCCACATCCTATATTGGTGAGTAGTGGCTGGGGTCTTAAAAACTTTCAAACAGCAATCTAAGATGCAGCTAATGGTCGCCTAGCATCGGAAGTGAAGAAGAATGCCAAAAAAAATAGGGGGGGGGGGCATTTAGAAGCAATCGGCCCTAGGACACGATGGCCCTTGAGACCAGAAGAACTGGATGGTGCCTGGCTACCAATGCCAACCACTTAGGAAAGGATCAAATCTGGAGATCCTGGATAGAGTGGGAGGGAAAACATGAAACAAAATGCAAAACCTCAATAATGACCAGAATTACTGATCAGATGAAATCTGGTGAGACTCCCAATACTATGGCCCTGAAATTCATTCAGAGCCTGGAATAAAACTCACCCCCAGGGGCAGGCTCTCAGCCCAATAGTTAACAAGATGTGCAGGCAGACCGCTCAACCCAGGATGCCGCACCCACACACTCAATAGTAACACATCCCTTAGAGCAATAGACCATGGGACACCAATGCACCAACATTCAAACTGAGGAAATGCAGGACAAACAGGAGTGCATAATTATGAGGGGCACAGGGGGAGGGTTGCAGGGTAGAGAGGGGAGGAGACTGGGTTAGAGAGGGAGGGAGGGAAAGAAGGAAGGAAGGAAGGAAAGAAAGAAAGAAAGAAAAAAGTTAACAGCCCTATTAGAGGCGTGCCTGTGATCATTAATTATACTTAACTTGACACTAATTAATTAAATTTATCCTCTGCTTAAACCAGTTGTAATACTCGACATAAGCAAAAGATCTCAGAAGCTTAAAGAGAACCAAACAAATCATGTATCATACCAGGGATGAAAAGTCAGACTAGCATCAGACTTCTAATCAGAAGATAGTCAAGCACTATATTTAAAGTTCTAAGGAAAAAAAAAAAAAAAAAAAATTACCATGTATACCAAGCCAAAGTATCAATTAAGCATGAGGAAAATATAAAAACATTTTTAGATATTACAAGGTATGGTGGGAGCTGAATAATGCTGCCGTCCACCACCACATCCTAATATCTGGAACCTGTGAAAGTTACCTTTATGGCACAATGGATTTGCAGATGGGATTAAATTAAGGATTTTGAGATAAGGAAATTATGCTGGATTATTCAGGTGAGCCCACTATTATCACAAGGATCCTTGTAAGACGGAGGCAAGAGTCAAAGAATAAAGTAGAACATATGACAATGAACAGGTTGAAGTGGTATAAGGGAGAGGCTGTTGTTGTTGTTATGTGCCGTCGAGTCGGACCCGACTCATAGTGAGTCCTCCTTGGGTTTCGGAGGTGGTATCACTACAGAAGTAGATTGCCCAACCTGCCTTCTGAGGAGTGGCTCGTGGGTTTGAACCTCCAGCCTTCTGGTTAGCCAATCAAGTGCCTTAGGCACTATGCTACCAGAGCTCCCAAGGGAGAGACTACTAGCTAAGAAATGCAGGTAGTCTCCAGAAGCTGGAAAAGGCCAGGAAACAGATTCTCCTGTAGAACTTCCAGAAGGAACCAGCCTGCCTACTCTTTGCCTTTAGCCCAGTGAAATTGATTTTAAACTTCTGGCCTCCAGAACTGCAGAATAAATTTATATTGTTTTAAGTCACCAAACTTGTGGTATTGGTTACAGCAACAAGAGAAAACTAACATATAAGGATCCAATGTTTCTTAAAAAAAAAACAAAAAACTGAGAATATACTACAGAAAAACAAAACAACAGTAAAAGCAATTAAAAAGAGATGCAGACAAAGGATTCATGAAATCACCGAAGTAGCCCAGAAGGTCAAAATTAATTAGACATTTCCATATTATAACTGTGTAACTGCCTAAAGTGCAATCAGT